GGTTGAGGCGGAGAAGGCGGCGGAGGAGGAGGCGGCAGCGGCGGAGAAGGCGGCGAAGGAGGAGGCGGCGGCGGCGGCGGCGGCTGCTGCGGCTGCAGCTGCGGAGGCGGAGATGGAGGCGGCGCGTGTCGCTTCCGAAGGTCGATCGGCGAGCCAGCTTCAGGCGGTCGCGCGAGGCCGGCAGGGGCGGGCCAAGGCGGCTGTTGCAGCCGCCGCGAAGGCGGAAGCGGCGGCGGAGGCGGCGAGGGCGGCGGAGGCGGCGAGGGCGGCGGCGGAGGAGGCGGCGGCGGCGGCGGCGGCGAGGGCGGCGGCGGAGGAGGCGGCGGCGGAGGCGGCCAGGGTGGCGGCGGCGGAGGCGGAGGCGGCGAGGGTGGCGGAGGAGGCGGCGGCGGAGGCGGCGGCGGAGGAGGAGGCGGCGGAGGCGGCGAGGGTGGCGGCTGAGGCGGCGGCGATAGCAGAGGCGGCTGCTGCGGAGAAGGCTCGCAGGGAGGAGGAGGAGGCCGAGGCTGCACGCACCGAGGCGGCTCGGGTCGAGGCGGAGAAGGCGGCGGAGGAGGAGGCGGCTGCTGCGGCTGCAGCTGCGGAGGCGGAGATGGAGGCGGCGCGTGTCGCTTCCGAAGGTCGATCGGCGAGCCAGCTTCAGGCGGTCGCGCGAGGCCGGCAGGGGCGGGCCAAGGCGGCTGTTGCAGCCGCCGCGAAGGTGGAAGAGGCGGCGAGGGCGGCGGCGGAGGCGGCGGCGGCGGAGGCGGCGAGGGTGGCGGCGGAGGAGGAGGCAGCGGAGGCGGCGAGGGCGGCGGCGGAGGCGGCGGCGGAGGAGGCGGCGAGGGTGGCGGCAGAGGAGGCAGAGGCGGCGGCGGAGGCGGCGAGGGTGGCGGCGGAGGAGGCGGCGGCGGCGGAGGCGGCGGCGGCGGAGGCGGCGGCGGCGGAGGCGGCAAGGGTGGCGGAGGAGGCGGAGGCGGCGAGGGTGGCGGCGGAGGAGGCGGCGATAGCAGAGGCGGCCGCTGCGGAGAAGGCTCGCAGGGAGGAGGAGGAGGCCGAGGCTGCACGCGCCGAGGCGGCTCGGGTTGAGGCGGAGAAGGCGGCGGAGGAGGAGGCGGCAGCGGCGGAGAAGGCGGCGGAGGAGGAGGCGGAGGCGGCGGCGGCGGCTGCTGCGGCTGCAGCTGCGGAGGCGGAGATGGAGGCGGCGCGTGTCGCTTCCGAAGGTCGATCGGCGAGCCAGCTTCAGGCGGTCGCGCGAGGCC